GGGATTGGAAACACGTGAAGGTAAACCTTCTCTCTCAATCTTCATGTCGCTTTGGCTGATCCACCTCGCATAGAACATTATCGAAAGTCAGCAGAGGTACCTCGACTTGAAGAAGGGTTATGAGATCAATCCGCCTCCTGGATTCTATATCGGCCCGCAAGGAGATCTTCAACGAGTCAACTCGACCGCTATCACTGGCACGACTGATGTGTCGACTGACATCACAATCCTTGGTTCGGGAGAGCCAAAACCTTTTGAGGTTGACATCAATGACAATCTCGATTTCCAGGAGGTCAACCGAGCTACAGATCTTCTCTGGAGGCTCGAGATGGGCTCCGCGTTCCCGTTCTCGCCGGACGAGCAACAGGAGTTGATGAGCCTGATCTCCAAGGCATATCCCGATCACCCTCTTACTAAAGGTGCCCTTGACGGATTCAGATCTGCAAGATCTACGCAGAGATCTGTCTTCCGACTCCATGGCTATGAACCATTCAAGAACTGGTGGGCCATTGCCTGCCAAAAATCAGAAAAGGTAAGCTCGACAACCCTCAACCTGAAACTGTCCCTAATACCAAGTAATAGCCAAAATCCGCACGTAAGACCGTCAGTGGCAAGAAAATGGAGCATATGTTCTGCGATCTCTTCAAGCTGGAGATCTTGGTGGAGGTGGAGAGAAAGATTGTGTACACACAGTGCGTCGGTTGCTTCCAGGACGCCCCAGACTGGTTTGAGCTCGATACTGGCAGCGAATGAGGGTAAGCTCTCGACGAACGGAGAGGAAAGTTCACATGATCTGTAGAGATCAGAATAACACGAGGGAAGATGACATATAGTACGATAGGAAATCACGACGCAGAAGGGAAGGATCATTGACATATGCCAGGAGGAGATGACATACGATCGAACGGACGAGCCATGGAAGATGGACATGGAATTTAATGAGTTGACATATTTGCCTCGAAAATGATTTCAGAATTTCAAGGTCAAGGGGCCAGTAAATTTTGATGCGCATGACTTTTCTCTTTAGACATGACCTTCGTCAATTCGCTCGTTTTGTACTGCTTCGTTATCTTCGCCGCATATCACTGCGGGTCCGTGGAACATATCTTCTTATCATGTCGTAACCAGTCGCTCAACTGATAGGCTCTTAGAATTATCCATCATGGCCAGGAAATCATCCATCGACAAGCTACCAGCCGAATTTCTTCAAATAATCAACAACCACCTCGAACTTAAGGATGTTCGCCAAATGCGCCATGTCTCCAAACGAATCTCCGTAAATGCTGAAAGAGCATTCATCCGGCATGGCATCAAGAGCGTCGTCATGTCTTCAACAAGCCCAGCCTGGAAGCCCTGAAAGAGATAACCGCCCACCCTCAGTTCGGCTCTGGAGTTGATAGCATCCTGTTCAACAGTGCGCTTTGCGTCCAAAGCGACGACCAGTTTGGAGAAGACAACAGGAGACTTCTCATCTACGTCTTTGCAAACATCAAACGCTAGGGAACTCACCTCAGTCTTGGTGTTCCAGATGTTCACCTGGATGCCTCAAACAAGTTCTTCTACAGCTCAAACAAAAGGCAATTCGTTCCCATCGATCAGCGTCCACACCAGTCTCCTGATAGAGTCCCTCGTTTCGCTCTGCATTATGCCGCCGGAGACTCCTCCCGCAAGCTCGACAAGATAAGGTTAGTGGTTCCATTGCACCCCGTCTTGCGACTACGTCATCGGCCAACCTGAAAATCTCGGGTCGCTGTTCGACATTATCCCTACACAGCTCTCCATGTCGTTCGATCTGAGCTTCGAAGCTCATATTCTCGACCGCCAACGCTCTCAGACCTTCATCTACGATAGTAAGAAGGAACGTATTGACATCAGAAACATGGACCTTAGAAACATGGAGCCCGGTTACATCTCGCTAATGCACCGCATCATTGGTGTCTCGTTGAAGAACAAATTTATCCGCGACTTGCGTGTCAGAAGTTCCTGTATTGACAGCAGCAGATGATACCGTAAGAACATCACCCAACCACACAATGACACTCTGGAGCGCATCGACTACCGCTTGGTCACAATCAAACACAGAAGACATTGGAGCTCGGACATCAAATTGCTATCCACGCTCCCACAGCTCAACCGTTGCTCACTCGAAAGTCTAGAGTCACTCTGCTCTATCATGATGGGTCCGGATCCGGAGATTGAACTTATTGTTAACAATCTGGTCAGCTCGTCCTCCCCGCTAGGTCATAAAGTCCAAACCGCTCTCAATGTCGAGGGCTATGCTGCTTCGGCCACGCTTCGAGCCGCCGCAGAGGTATGCAAGGCTACCATGGAGATGTTCATCCAGAACTCTAAACGTGAGCACAAGCGTGCTTTTCTCGCTGGAATTGAGGAGGACCAAGACGACTATGGCGATGGAGAGATGTTCGACCAAGCCATCGATGAAGACATCCAGCTCGAGGCCGCTATCAGGGAAGACTTCAGCTGGCAGAGTGATAGCGACCAGGACTAGGTCCAGGGTTGCGAAGTTGCAGCAAGCAGATTACAACAAAATGAAGAGGGATCGGAGCTTTTTCACAAGTGGAGGTTTTGATAGGTAGAGAACGACTAAGGAGAAAACCTAGGCTATCGGGAAGGGTTGCAAAGAAATACCCCATTCTAATCCATTCTCCCCAAAAGACTGTCCAGTTATCCGTAAGTAAGGTGATCGACAGATCTAGTCGAACATCATTTGGTCGCGATCCTCACCGTTCCCACCACTGACCTCATCGTTGATCTCGCCGATGTTTCCACCATTGTTCTCGTTGTTGTCCTCATCCACATTCGGCAGCCAGCCCAGAATGCGCCTTGCATCAGGACCCATCATCCGTTCGTCGATACCACTTGCGATCTTAAGAAGCTCCTTGACGAACGGAGCGTATCTCCTCTGCATGGAGAATTTCTGAGCCGCCCTCAGAAATCTCTCTGCTGACTCCACACTCCAGACCAAACTCTTGAAGAAAGCTCGCTCAATGCACCACTCCAGATAAGTGCCTGCGTCGGTATCTTCGAGCTGCGCATCGCACCTCATCATTCTCTCTTCCATAGGAGTCGAACGATATCGGCCTTCCAGATCCCTGCCCAGATCGCCCAAGGCTGCCAGAGTCTCCTGAATGAGCTTGATCTTGACTCTGATCATGTCATTGTTCATCACTTCACTCCAATCCTTGTCGAGTTTTTCAAGAGCATTGAGTAGGGCTGCCTCAAGCACCTCCATGCTTGAGATGATATCTTTTCCGCTGTCTCAATGGTACCCTTGACACAATATTCGTGCATCGTCAGGCTGGGATCGACCGCCAAGCGCGAGATGTAGTTGGAGAAGTCTGGAAGTGGTCCGATCTGACTGCTGTGGATTTTGGGTCTGCCTGGCCATGCGAGTAATGCTGAGCGAGTGTTGTTGCGAAGCCAGACATGTAGTTGGTCGAATTGTTTGCTTACATCTTGAATCAAGATGCAGGCGTCTCTGCGCATCGAGGTACGGCCTGGCCACAGTTAGTCGTGTGTCTGCTGGCTTATGCGCACACAAACTTACTGGTCTGGAAAGAAGCCATTGTAGGTTGGATAAGGCGATACTTGCCGTTGCAGCTTGTGCAGTACTGACAAAGCTTGGTGTGGATGCTTGATGTTCGACGAGAGAGGGTTTCGGAGTCGTGTAGACGAGGTAATGGCGAGATGCTTACTGCAGCCAAAGACAGTCTCGAATGTCAAGTTGAGAGGTTGAGAGTGACAGTCGAAGATGTGAACAAAAAGTGAGGATGTTGCTGGATGCCGAGCTGCCGGATCGTTGCTCGCATGTGAAAGCACAAAGCGGATTTTGCTTCAATGGAGCAAACATAAATCTCTTCTTTGTTTTGCTCTTAAAGCTTTGTCGTATGTTCCAGTTCACGCGCGAAACTTCATTGTGCTTCTAAGGGCCAGGTGAGTAGTACTATATGGGCTTCGATGTTGATGCTGACCTTTTGCTAGGATGGACGACAACAAGAGCGTAGTCAAACTCACTGAACTTCAGGAGTTGAAGAATGAAGAGACACAGTTACACCAAGAACTGGAGTTAGCTCGCCAGGAACAAGAAGATACCAAAGCAAGACGTCTCGAAACCCTTCACGCGATTCAACAGGCCGTTAATGGTAGCGAAGAACTGTTCATCAACCATATCGTAGGTGGCAATCATCAGACTTTGGGGAACTTTACTGATTTGTTCTAGGATCGCTACACAGAACAAGCGTCAGGAATTATCCCTCGGATGAAAGCGCTCGCCCGCAATGCCACAATGGAGGATTGCACAAAGATCAAAGCCATCGTTCGTCACCTGGAAACTCTTGCCGGTAACCACGAGGCAGGCCAGCAAGTTATGGAGGACTTCCAAAGCGTCAAGTCACTCCTCCAAGAGAAATACCCATTGAACTAGCTCCAAAATGACATCCCACCATCGTGGTAATTCCACTTCTGAATCAGCTCATACAACCAGTAGATACGTACACCCACTATGGAGAGAAGATCATCAATTCGAGGGCTCAAAAATCCAAAATTCGATACTAGAGGGTCTGCCTCCGAGCAAAATCATCAATTCGAGGGCTCAAAAATCCAAAATTCGATACTAGAGGTCTGTTTATTGCCACTGCTCATGTGTCTGCTACCACTCACTCTTGCCCTTTCCCTTGTTACCATCCTTTTACTCACTTTCTTCATATATCTTTACTTCCCTTCTTTTCCTTCTTCTTCTAATTCCTCCTTCTTTTCCTTTTCTCAATCCAACACCGGCAAGCGCACTTCGCGCTCTCAAACTGAACGGAACTCAGCCAATATCCCAGTCCTGCCGTGCTTGAAAACTCTGAGTAGTTCCGCCTACAACAACTACCAGCAGCCATCTTCCAGATACCACAACGCCACTCAATCTGGTAAGCCTCACGATGCTCGCGAAAGAAGAGCACTAACTCGGTACACAGACCAGAGAACTCCCCATTATGTCGCCACTCATGGAGCTGCCAAACGAGCTGATCCTCAACATTGTTGAGCAGTCAGAGGATGCCGACTTGCCTAGCTTGCGCCTGACTTGCAAGCGGCTCTCCGCCATCACGGCCACCCCCTTCGCCATCAGAATCATGTCAGAAAGAAACCACGTGGTTACTGAANAAAGCATTGACGTCCTCGGCGAGATTACCGCTCATCCCACATTCGGTCCCTACGTCAAGAGCATCTTCCTAAACATCGTCGAAGCCGGTTACGAGAACTTGAACGAAGGCGAAGCTGGACCTATCTGTGGCTGGACATCTTTCGACAGACTCACCGAACTCGACAGCCACAAGCTCGAGGACATCTTCAGAAACATCATCAATCATGGCAACTCTGGAATCACCATCGGTGTCACCGACAACTACCCCAAACATCAACAGAGCGACTGTATCTCCGATGAGTTTTGGAGAAAGTCTGAGAAGCCCAGCTACGGCTGGTCTGGTCTTGGTATCAAGGGAGAGTTCACTGACGAGATCATCTATCCAGAATACATTGTGCAATACATGATCGTCGCCGCTGTCAATGTAGGTTGCAAGATCAACTGCATCGAGACCAGAGTTGTTGGTCGCGCCATGAGCTGCAAGGACAAGTCCCCTAGCTACGTTGGTCCAGCTAGAATGGAGACCCATGACGAGTACCTGATGGCAGTCACAGAGTTCCATGCGCTGACTGGATGTACCATTCGTACTGTCTTCGGAAACGAGGTCTCCAAGCAGTCTCAGCAACCTCTTACAACAGTCAACTTCGTACTTGGCACTAAGCCCAGCGACCTGGAACAGATGCACGCCAACGACAGTCCTTTTGTCAAGGAATTCCTTCGCCAGCTCATCGGCGATCTAACCGGTGACGATCCTGACTTGTCGCCCTTCTGTTGTTGGATGAATCAGCCTAAGCTTGTCAACAAAGTGAACAACGACGAGTTCTACTTCGGAGAGGGTTTTGGTCTACACTGGGTTCGTCCTGGAAAGAAAGTCTTGGAGTAGTCTAGGAGAGAAGAACAATGCCTGGGGCAGCAAAGGACAACATTGATTTGGAAGCAAATGGGAAGGAGGAGATAGATCAAGCTACCGAGGAAAGAAAGATGCATGCGGTATTGAGAGATCAAGTTACGATGAGCAGTCAGCAATGGGGGAAAATGTCTCCTTATCAAGGGATTGCATAATAGAGAAGAAAGGGATGGATATCATCACTAGCGAACAATAAGAAATCGAAATTCAGTCGAAAGCTCAAAGCCTTTTGCAAATGCTCTCTAGTGGTGGTGACCCTTATTAACCCCTTGATGTTTTCTCTCAGCCCTTCGGTCAACTAAATCCAGTTGCCTCTACTATCGTTGCCGTTTCATCTGAAATGCCGGCCTCCAGCCTCGGCCGTAACAAGCAAATTCTCTAGCATCCATTTCAAAAACCAGCGCTCGAGCGTCACTTGCACTTCTGCCTTTTGCGCTTTCACTTCCACTTCCGCAACACTACTCTTCACACTCCATATATAATCGCTTCCTTCCCAAAGACCTCCCTTTCTCTTCGTCATCTCTACATTGTCGTTGGAAACAGAAAGAATTTGGGCTCGCTTCGCCAACCGCCAGATCTCTGACCCTGCTGCCGTCGCCATCATGGCAATCAACATTCAAGCTCCTGGAGATGGTACACAAGAGCAATTACAAGACACTTTGCAACTTGCCGGTCAAGACGCAACCATCGACAGCGAACAAGCCTATCTCCAAGCTCTTCCATCAGAGATCTTGGGCATTATCGCCGAGTTTACGGAAGATGAAGCTCTTAACAACCTTCGCCGGACTCGCAAGCATATCGCAGAAAGCATCTTCCCTGAGTTCACTCATCGTCATTTTGAAGAACGCAGTCACTCGATGACCCCCTTCGGCATCAACTCGCTTCTCCAAATTGTTCGCTATTCTTCCTTTGGCGTCTTCATCAGAAGAGTCGTCTTCAACGTCACCACAGAACGTGCCAACTCTGACTTCCTGGACCAAGAACGCTTTGCTACTTCGATCAAAGAGATCTTTAACCACCTCAAGCGTCTCCAGGCCCATCACCACGAAAGTATCACCATCGGTTTCACCGACAGCTGTCATAAGCGAAAGAAGGTATCGCGCTTTGATGCTACGTACTTTGACGTGCAGAGACCCAGCTATGATCGATACGACCCTACACCTGGGGCCGGCCACGCTCACAAGTTTGCTCGCCTCCTTGCAACCCGCGCAACAGGTCTCATCACCATGGGAGACGCTATGGCCCGCGTTCTCCCTCTCGCGATCGAGACTGGTTGCAATATCGACCGCCTTGATCTTCGACTCGTCGGCCGCCTTCAACTCACTCAACGCCCCCTCTCTTTTCACGGACCATCAATCCCCGATGTTCTTCGAGATATCGAACCCCCAGCTTCGTGGAACATCAAGATGAGCGTGATTGACAGAGGTTCCGCACATTTATCCACAATTGAATACACCAGCAAATCTCAGAAGCTCAAGTTCGAACACTTCTTTCTGGGTGATCTCGACGCCCATGAAGCATCAACCTATGCATACGACTTGGCATTGCGAATCTTCGATGGAAAGTTCAAGGAGCTCGAGCTCGTCAACTGCTCTATTCGCGACACCGAACTTCTGGACGTTCAGTTCTCGGAGCTCGGAAGTTCCAGCAACGTGTTGGAAAGTCTGGTCGTCCGTGGTCTCTTCAAATGGGATAACCTTGGCTGGGACCAAGTTTTCCGATCTATGTGCAGACTGGAGACTTTGAAGCGTTGCTTGATTCAAGGTTTGCAGCTTGCGCCTCCAGACGAAGATGAAGACGAAGACGAAGAAGAAGAAGAAGAAGAAGAAGGAGACGAGGAAGCTGAGGCAGCTGAAGAAGCCGAGCAAGCCGAGCCAGCTGAGGAACATGAGGACAGAGTTGAGGAACATGGCGACATTAGCGAACGTGGAGACGATGGAACTGCAGGCGGAGATGATGGCGAGAACGGAAAGCAAAGTGCTGAGGAGAGGCTTGCTGAGTTGGGCTGCATATTTGCTGGTCTGCGCCTCGAGCTCAACGAATCTGACGGCCATGGCATCGTCGACGAGCTTTTCAGAACCTCGAACAAGTTTCCAAACATTGCTTGAAGGGATTTCATACCAGGAGGTAACTAGTGCCAAGATGGAAGCGTGTCAGGGGACACGGGAATACACAGGAAGGGCGTATCAGAGGAATTGAGAATCAATACAAGAGTTTCAAAATCAATCGAAACATGCTTAATGACCACTTGTTTCTTTCAAGGCACGGCTGAACATTTTTGACACCCGCCATTTGTGTCTAAGAATTGTCAGGTATGTAATTTGGCTTTTATTCTGTTCGGACTCCGTGTGTACTCGAGAGTGTCACATGTAGCTACGAGAATGCGAAAGTGTTTGCATTCACTTTGCCCTGCAGCTTCACTTGCTACTTTTGATGACCGGTTGCTTGTCACTTCTTGCCTATCGGTGGTCTTCTTTCTTCTACCACTATATAAGCTTCCTTTGGCCTAACTCAACGTAGAAAGCTTCTCTCCACTCCAAGATATCTTGTCTCCACCTAGGTAGTTCTACATCCCATCTGCTTCGAGCTAGCATTCTGCATACATCAAGTCTAACTCACTATACCGATAGGGTCATTACACCGCAAACATGGACAACCACACAGCGCCTAGATCGGCTCATGTACCAAGCAACTCGGTACGTTGACATACCCGTCGCATGTTTATCTGTTATAGATTCGTACTAACGATAACATTTCCGTTACAGAACAACAGTATCCAGACCGATAACGAGCCCCGTCATTCTCGTCTTCCAACTAGCCACGTGGAGAGCCCTACCAGATCTACTGCCGGCATCCATGCCGACCCAAGCACAGTTATTCCTATGAACCACAACGGGATTGTGTTTGGCGTCGGTCCTACACCCCAGTCAGGAACACCCACTATCATCTCTTGGGGTGTTAGTTCGCCAGTCGACCACATCACTGCGTTTGTGTATCGCTTTCCGGATGGCACAACCAAAGCCCGCGTTACAGCCTCTGTTCCTGACCCTGACGAGTGTATCCAGGGCGTCCTCCGCAAGCTTTGCCAGGACCAGACTGAGATCTCGCTGGTACACGCCGTACTCATCTGTGCCCTGTTGAGGCACTACGGAGATTCGCCTTACAACGAGGATGGCGACTATGGCGACATCACTACTGTCCAATCGAAGCTACTTGAGCGAGCCAAATCTGTCGTCTCTAAGTACGACGCCGATCTGAAGGAGCAGGAGCGTGAGGCTGCTCAGGGGGAACAAAAGGAGCAGAATGAGACAGCCTGATCCCAAGGTATATCGGCATCAGTACAGATGTTGGGCAACAGTGACAAAAGGCCAAGTCAGACCTGCACGATGAATACGTTGCCGAGGCGGTCTTGTTTTCAAGTTTTAAATTCTCAGTGGTTACGTACACAGTCAATTGAAGCATCCAACCTCTATCATATCGAATTCTCCCTATAGTGATCGTACTTGGCATGCATGGCCGCCGTCTGGGTCGCTGAGTAGAGCTAGCATGGAGGCCATTTGTGGTCAATTGTGATGAGTGGTGTAACTTTGGGTCGCCGAGTAGACTGTTGCTCCTGAACCCGGGACCCTAATGTACCATCAGATTAACGAAACTGCATCACGATGTTTTCCAGAACAATGACGAAACAAGATGTTGAAACGAAATTTGTGCTTTGATTATCCTTGGTCCTGCGGTGTAGTGCAATGCGATGATGTGTACACGCTATGCCGTCAACTATGCCAGTCGTAGTAGCTCCGGAAGTGCAATCCTCTACTCCATTCGCCTCAAGAACTCCATAGAATATCCATGCTAATGCCGCTGCACAATCCTCACGACACGCCAATCAACTAGAACAAAAAGTCCAAGAGCGAGTGTACAGAAATCAAGCAGACTCTGCCTCGATACCCTCGTCAAAAACATCATCTTCGTCGTCACTGTTCTCGCTCTCGCTAGCAGGTTCCCATCCGGCTTTGGCACGCAAGATGCGGTTTTCCTCCTTGAGAGCAGCGATGCGACGACGGTAGGGCAAAGAGCCTTCTTCGTGTGCGCGTTGGGCCAGGCGTAGGTATTCGGATAGGCGCAGCAGCGATGCCTGCCAGGCTTGGTGTGTGAGCTGTGCTTGGATGGTTTCGTTACGTGACGTCTCGAGCAGGGAGTTGTAGTGTGCGTGTAGGGCTGGTATGTAGGTCAGCGACAGTGGTTGTGTGAGTGAGAAAAGGGGCTTACCGATGGTTGCGCTCTGGTGGTTGTGAGCATACTCGCTGACTTGGATCTTGAACTTTTCGACAATATCTTCGGCGTAGTCGATGACTTCGTTGGCTTCCTTGCACTCTGTTTCTAGTTCGGTGATGCGTGATAAGGCGTCTGACAATTGGGCTTGGAGGGCGGTCGTGTCGATATCAGAAGAAGCATGAGGGGCATGAGAGGCTGCAGGGAGCAATAAAGCTTCGGTATTAGCTAGTGAACGAGAGAAACAAGAATTAAACGAGAGGGTATCTAAGCGCTGTGGACAATCAAAGACAGCAGAGCCATGAACGACCGTACCATTGACATCTCCGTTGGTCAGAACACCATTCTCAGTAGGTCGANNGGCTAAAAGGAAGTGTGTGAGCAATTCGAGCATGATTGCCATGTCCTTTTGGTTGTTGAGGTCTACCTGGGCACGCGCGAGAGTGTTCTGCAGCTCGTCGTAGTTTTCGCGGTTCTGTTGCAGGACAGAACTCAGTTCTTGGACCAGAGTCCAGATGTGCTGCATGTCGCTGTGGTGGCCAGCTGAAGGCATACCGCCTCCGAGTGTGTAAGGTGCAGCCGAGTTGGCCATGGCGGGGTTCTGAGCAGCCATGTCAATGTCACGAGAGTAGATGTTGCGCAGAGCGTGAGCAAGATGGTCGGTGATGGAGGGGTCGTTCAGCGAGACGAACTCGTCATGATCGTCG